GGCACCATCCCCGGCTGCGGGAGAGCAGGGATGGGGTGCGGGGCTCGGCCAGGGGTCCCCGGGGTTCGCGTCCGCCACCGGCCAGGCCTCCGCCCTCATCCCTGCGCCAGGATTACCGCGGATAGATGACAGGAACAGAGGAATTCATCCCCTCTCGATTTGATTTATGTTAAATCCATCCAGCTCTCCGCTCGTTAGGGTAATGATGACAAACGAGCGCAGTAATCTCCGTTATTACCGCTCACCGCAGGGTCGATGATCCCCAAACGCAGCGTTGTAATCAAGCAAACACGTAGATTGGGATAAACCCGGGAGGGGGCGGCCACAGCAGCTCGGCACCGCGGGCTGCCAGAGAGGGGCAGAGGTGCCGGCGTCCCCGGCGTTGGCACAGCCCGGAGGGGACATCGCCGGTGGCACGGGCATGGCTGCGCCCAGAGCCCCACGGCAGCCGGGAGGCTGGACGGACGGACAGGCGGACGGTGCCCATGATGTCTCCACTTTGCATTAAAGCTGCCGGGAGCGTTGCAGCACGAGAGCAAAGCGGTGCTGCCGGCAGCGGAGCCGGAGGAGAGGAGCGTGCCCTTCACACCCCGGCCGCCCCGCCGTGGTCAGCAGCCTGCTAATCACTTTTGATTGCGTAATTAGCAGCGAGCCCCGCTGTGGCGCGGCGATCTGCTTAGCCGGAGCAGTGGCACGGGCTCCCCGAGCTGTCAGCTGCGGGCAGGGCTGGCACACATGGTTTTCCGGGTCGCCGTATGGAAAATCGATAGATAAAAATAGCCCGGCCCTGTGCAGAGCCCGGGGCCAGTGCCCGCGGCCGGCGGCACGTGCCGGGGGAGCGGGGAGGGAGGAGGTCGGGGGCAAAGGCGGCAGCACCGGGGAGCGGGATGGGGATGGAGGGGCCGGGAGCGGAGCCGTGGGTCCAAGGGCTGCCTGTCCCCGCAGATCTACCTGTCCTGGAAGAGCGGCCCCGGGGAGGTGAAGCACTGGAAGGACATGATCGCCCGTCCCCGGCAGGCGGTGGCACAGTGGCACCAGCTGAAGGCCTGAGCACCCCAGGACATCAGGGCCGGGGGTCCCCCTTCCCAGCCCCTGTCACCCCTCCGAGGGGCTCCCGGCGAGGAGCCCGGGGACCGACGCGACACC